GTCCATAACTGGCCTGGGATTTCTTTTCTCTTCTCTATCTGTGTTCCCTCAGTCAATATCCCCCAAGCACCACTTCCATGGTTGGCTCATTTTGGCCCCACCACTAGCCATGTTTGGGCAGAAGCCGCTCCGGAAATGTAATCCCTAGCTTCAGACTCTCCCAACGTATAAACTCCCTGGAAGATTCTCAGTGGAGATGTCTGAAGGTAAGACCAGACATCTGACTTGATGAAAATAAAATGCTGACCTATTTAGAGTTAACGTTTAAGTTGCTGACAAGAAAATATCAAGTGGAAGAGTAAACTAAAAAAAAAAAAAAAATGTTGCAGTGAATTAAAGCTCTAGTGAGTAAGAATGAAGAAAGGAAAGTGGTAGAAAGGCAAGGGCCCCATCGAGATGGAGAGCCATCTGGGAATCCTCAACTCACTTCTGCCACCGCTTAGTGGCAAACGTGCAAGTAGACTGCTCTGTACCTTGGTTTCTTTTTGTGTAAAAGGCTGAGGAGGATGAATCCCATGCATTCTTCTCCATAGGAGAAAACAACTATACAGAATACCCATTCAGTATCTTTTTTAAAATAGAAAGATCTGGGGTTTTGCAAAATGGTGGCTAATTCAACTAAGGGCTTTTCCTTTGAAATTTTATCAACAAATGGGTCTTCATGAGAGAGAAACAAAAATGACCACAAGGACGGGATAAAAAAAAAGCAGCCTCCTAATCTCACTCAGACAGAAGAGTGGGTCCAGCCTCCAGCAGCAGCAGCAACAGGAGCACAAAATTGGCTCGGGGCCGCAGATTTGACATGCCAGATATTCATGTGTCTGAAGTGATGAGGTTATAGAGACGTTGGGTGAGGCAATCATCATGTGGAACTTAAGTTTGGCGCCAATGCTGCCAATACTCACTTCACCAAAAGAGAACTGCTACAAGACTCCGTCTGCCACTGAAGTTTCCACTACAAGTTCAACACTCTCCACTTCTTCTAAGACACAAAACAGTTCAACACAGATGGCTCTGTCTCTTTTCTTCATTTTATGAGTGATACTGTCCAGAGTTACTGGAACTCTTAGTTCTTAAGGGAAGAGGGACTGGATGTTGTTTCTTTTACCTCCTTTGTTAACGTCAAGAAACCAAGCCACATATTTCTTAATAATGAAAATCTGGATCAAGTTCAGTGTATAGTTCAAAAATGTATTCCAATTAAACAATTTAATAGAATTTTGGCTTCTCCTTTAGCCCCATCCTACTACCATATGTATCCAATAATTCCAAGTTCATTTCCCCCCGACTAATAAAAAATGGAGTCACTAAATAAGTGTGACATTTTGCTTTGAAATTTTAGTTTCTCCAATCAACAAAACGAAAAGGCAGCCTATGGAATGGGAGAAGATACTTGCAAATGACATATCTGATAAAGGGTTAGTATCCAAAATCCAAAAAGAACTTACCAAACTCAATACCCAAAAAATAAATAATCCAGTTAAGAAATGGGCAGAAGACATGAATAGATACTTTTCCAAAGAAGACATCCAGATAGCTAACAAACACATGAAAAGATGCTCAACATCACTCATCATCGGGGAAATACAAATCAAAACCATGATGACATACCACCTCACACCTGTCTGAATGGCTAACATCAACAACATAAGAAACAACAGGTGTTGGCAAGGATGCAGAGAAAGGGGAACCTCCTGCACTTTTGATGGGAATGCAAACTGTGTAGACACTCTGGAAAACAGTATGGAGGTTCCTCAAAATATTAAAAATAGAACCATCCTATGACCCAGCAATTGCACTACTCGGCATTTACCCAAAGGATACAAAAATACAGATTTGAAGACATACAGCCTCCCCCATGTTTCTAGCAGCATTATCCACAATAGCCAAACTATGGAGAGAGCCCAAATGTCTATTGACTGATGAATGGATAAAGAAGACATACATGGTGTATACAAACGATGGACTATTAGTTAACCATCAAAAAAATAAAATCTTGCCATTTGCAATGACATGGATGGAGCTAGAGAGTATTATACTAAGTGAAATAACTCAGTCAGAGAAAGACAAATACCATATGATCTCACTCGTACGTGGAATTTAAGAAAGAAAACAGATGAACACATGGAAAGGAGGAAAAGGAAAAAAGGAGCAAGGGAAACAAACCATAAGATACTCTTACCAGTAGAGAATAAACTGAGGATTGATGGAGGCGGGGGATGGACTAGGTGGGTGATGAGCATTAAGGAGGGCACTAGTTGTGATAAGCACTGGGTGTTGTACGTTAAGTAGTGAATCACTGAATTCCACTCCAGAAACCAATATTGTACTGTAAGCTCACTAAATAAAATTTTAAATTAAAAAAAATTAAAAATAGGGGTGCCTGGGTGGCTCAGTCAGTTAAGCATCTGCCTTCAGCTCAGGTCATGATCCCAGGGTCCTGGGATCAAGCCCTCATTAGGATCCTCTCTCAACAGGAAGTCTGCTTCTTCCTGTCCCTCTCTCTCTCTGCCCCTCCCCTGGCTCATGCTCTCTCTAAATAAATAAATAAATAAGTAAATAAATAAATAAATAAATAATGTCTTTTTAAAGATTAAAAATAAAAATAAAAAAATAATTTAAAAAATACAAGAAATAAAAAATCTTAAAAAGAAAGAAAGCTCAGTTTCTCTTAAGCCACAGTTTTCCAAGGGTCAACACCTGCCCAACCACCCCACAGGCTGGTGAAATGCAGACTGTCAACCCCAATCATCACTCCACATCCTTATCCACACAGCATTCCAGGTGGTTGTGCTCCAGGCCAGTGTATCAGTGAGCCTGCCCACCTGAGCCCCGGTGCCACCAAGTGACCTCCTTTCATTAGGTCCTTCCAGGCTGCCAGGCCCTGTGACAGTTCTCAAGAGTACAGCAGTGAACATAATGTCACCACCAATGCCTGCTCTCAGGAACTAGCCATATCCCTGCCAGCCTTCTCACACCGGCCTCCATGATACAAATTCTCGCTTAGCCAGTTTGGGCAGTCAATGAGCAAAGCAAGGCAGAGAAACAAGAAGCCACCTCAGAAATACACCAGATCAAGTAAGTGTCTTTGTGTGGAAATGACCCATTTTCACTTATGAAGCCTGTTTATATAAAAGACCTCAATGAAAAGTTACCCTTCTTTGGTAGGTGAGGAAACAGACTCGCTAAAAGTAACTTGCCCAAGGTTATAGAGGGAGTTCGTGGCCATCAAAGATGAAGGCCCAGATCTCCCAAATGTCGTAACACCTTTGCCTCTGAGGGCCCATGAGGGCCTTAGAGCAAGAGCAGCATCCTGAATATGTACTGACCCTGCTTCTCTCACAGAATTATGAAGAGAAAGTTGCTTCATGCAGAAAGCTTCCTTTTCTCCTCCATTTAAAACAAAACAAAACAAAAAACGGATGGAAATTCTGCATTACTTGTCTCATCAGATCCCCATGATGAGGTTTATGCTTTAAATAGTTAATCATCAGAAAGGCATTATCTCTCGTCCCTGAGGGAACTTCCTCTCAGGTCTCCATGCACAGGGACACGGCGGGGTGGTGATGATGATGATGATGGTGATAATGATGATTGCTAGCATATAGTGAGGGCCTACTCCATTTTATTTTTTTTTTTAAAGATTTTGTTTATTTATTTGACAGAGAGAGATCACAAGCAGGCAGAGAAGCAGGCAGAGAGAGAGGAGGAAGCAGGCTCCCCACTGAGCAGAGAGCCCGATGCGGGGCTCGATCCCAGTACCCTGGGATCATGACCTGAGCCGAAGGCAGAGGCTTTAACCCACTGAGCCACCCAGGTGCCCCGGCCTACTCCATTTTAAATGTACTGTCTCGTTTAATCCTCACAAGAATTCTATTTTTCCATTCTGCAGATGAGAAAACTAAGTGTCAGAAAGAATGGGGAATTTGACCAAGGTTACAAAGCTAGGAAAGAGTGGGGATAAGAGCCTCACCCAAGGGGTCTGCCCCCAACTCCTACCCTTTTAATCACCTTCTTCATCTTAAAACCTGAGAGATTTCAATAATTTAGGTTACAAAACCTAATTTAGTGCGCAAACTGCTAGAAGCTCCTCTGGGAGAGGAATGTAATATAATCTTTAAGTCCTAGTTCTTCAAGTCCTAGAAAGGTTTCCCATATGACAGAGCCAACAATTTCAAAACTTAGGGTTCCATTAATGGCAGCCCTGTGACAGAACAGAGTAAGCTCTTTAATTTTGACTGATGTCACTTTGGGGTGGAAGGAGGTTAGAGAGAGAGACTCATAAAGTGTCTGACACTCTGGGAAGCTTCCTGAGGTGAAGGTGTCCTGCCATGGGAAAAGCCACTGACTGAGGAAAAGAGTTGAGGTCAGCCCACAAGCCATCTTTGCTAAAGTCACTGGCTTCTCAACCTGAGCTACCAGAGAAGGGAGAAACTGGAGGAAAAGCACAGAACAGTGCAAGGCAAAAGTTCACCCAGCACATCAACTTGAGACAGGTGTCGTGCCTTTCCAGGTGTTCAGCAGAAAAGGAGGGAGCATAAGTTGCAAGTTTCAGATGGGCTTGCAGTGATCGGCTCCTCACTGTCAGATCTAAGCAGTTCATTCCTATTGTTTGGACTGAGTTTTTTCTCCTCTACAAAACCAGAATAAGGAAACTGATAAGGCTGCAATGAGGCATATATATGAAATTATTATTAAATATCTCTTTGAATGCCAAGGGCTATATGAACACTTAGGCATAGAAATAATCATTTCACCCCCATTGTAAACATGAGCACAACCTTGCTTTTCAGAAAAGGGAGAGAACGCTGCATCTGGAGCTGGCTTCTTTGCACAAGTGGTTATGCTTTGGTTATTTACAAGGCTACCAAGTACTCTTCATTCGAGAAGAACCAGTGTGACCCATGGCTTGGCTTGGGCCCAGATGTGCTGTATTCAGTTCTGCTCCCACTCTCTCCCCAGCACTATCACTAAGAAGAGGCCATGGCCTCGGGCCTTACCTTGCTGCTTTTGCATGGTGGTGAAATCCTCAAAAGTGAGTGTGCGCACAGGGGGTCTCCAGAACGCGTAAGTCTCCATGATGGCTTCCAGTCCGGTTCTGCGGAGAGAAAAGCCAACAAAGGAGGTTGGAAATCATGCCAAGAAATGCACTGACTTTTTAAAGATCCTGCAGTGGTTTGTCTGACAGGTGGTATGTACATAGGCATTGAAAGATTTCACCACCACCCCCCCGAGGAAATTAGTCTAGAAGAGCACAAGGAACAGATGACACTGAAATGCGTAAGGAAGAAGAAATTAACCCAATTCAGATTATATGCAAGCAAGTCATAACTAGGATGGAATTTTGCTTGGAGCTTTCTTCAAAGGAGGTCCGGTCTTCGTGGAAAAAAACCAATTGTTAAAGGTCAAGGTCACGAATACCATCATGACCAGAGCTGAGCCCAGAGCTGAGCCCAGAAAGGCACTGACGGTTTCTCAAGCACAGGATGATGTTTCATCATTACCGCAGTGCACGGACACAGCCTGCCCCAAGTCACCCCTACTAGTCAGTATGTGGAGTCCACAGAACCATCAAATCGCTTAAATGAACAGAGACAAGCAGGGTAATAGCAACAAAAGGAGAAGCAAGCAAGCAAACACACTTGAGTTTCTGTCTCAACAAAAAATTCCCACCTGAAGGCAAAGAAGGGGTTTGGTCCAAGAAATTATACCTCAGAGAAAAGGGCCAATATATTTCTGCAAATACTGATCTGTGTTCTATAAAATCTAATAATCAAGCTGGTCTTTGAGGGTCACATATGTGAGACCATCAGACCTCAGGAAACATCCAGTATTTTCCAAATACATTAAGGCTTCTGTTTCATTGATACTGGAGGTTCCATTAATTAAAATATGCACACACTGCCTACTTTACCCTTCAATAAATGCTCTACCATATATATGAGGTGCTGATGGACATCCCTTCAACATAACTATCCAAGTTATCTTGGTCATATACTTGCTGATATCCCATATCCTCAAAAAAGTATTGGTTGGGTTTTGTTTAAAGCTCTGAACTTTTAACTTCATTAAAGCTTCTTATTACTGACTTTTCTTTAAAACAAACTGCTTCACTTCCATCTAAGTGGAGGGAGCGGAAGTACAGGGACTCTGGACAAGGAAGGTGGAAAAGAGTAGGTAGCATTGCCCTTCCACTGCAAAGTTTCTAGAAGGTAACACGGCATCCCTTCCTGCAAAAGACAAATGTTCCCTCTTGAGATGAAAATTATGCTGCCTGTCTTCCTCCCTAGGCAATACATTTCCAGGGTTCTCTTCAGTCCTGCAGACCAAGAATAAAGTGAGAAGCTTTATTTTTAAGTGAGAACAACTATCCTCTCCTTATAAATGTCTAGAAGATCCCTTGAGGTTCTTCTCAGATGAGCTGCTGAGACACTGATTGGCTCTTCATGTTGGAAAATTTCCTCTCTGAACAGGCTTTACTTGCACAGTTAACTTTCTAAAGTCTTCCCTGGAATCTTGGAGGCTTTAAATACACCAATGTTGGCAAATCAAACTCTGTATTTTTAGAAGAGGTTGAGAAGAGAGAGTGTTGCATGGTGTTTATTAGCTGTTAATCTGTTAAAAGTAGGAATAGAAGACATGTCCACATAGTCACCTACATTAATGCTGAATACAGTACATGGAACTATTTATGGAGAGAAAGAGTCCAAGCAATTATGGAGTTTAGAATAATAAGAGGATAGGCAGATAAAGCCATGCTGAGCTTTGATGATTGTAAGAAAGAGACAGGCCAGGCATGGATCTCACCGCCTTGTTCTGGAATGTTGGCCACCCACCAGAACATCTTAGGATTCCCTTTAATGGAATGGGAGGCTCACTGCAAATGGTAAGGTCTTTGTTGTTCCACCTCCTATCTCATTCTTCCCAGGAGCATTTACCAATGAGGGACAAAACATTAACTCAAGGACAAAGAACAGTCCCTTCTCACTTCACAAGAAAGTGACAGATGACTGTGAAGAAACAATAACACACTGATATACTGCCCATATCATATTTATTCAAGAAACAGAAAAACTTTGATTTCATTTTCATAATAGGCAAAAAGCCTGTGGCAAAGTTATTCATAATTTTATTTAGGCCATCAACACTATATAGGATAGTGACCATTTACCCATCTGTCCAAATCTAAAATCCAACTGAAAGACTGAGTTGTAGAATCATAGATTTAAAAACTGGGAAAGTTCTTAGGTATTACCTACTTCCAGTTCCTGGGATGCCATCTTGAATGGTTACCCAGCCTCTGCTGGGGTATTTCCCAAGAAAACATTCAGTTTTCTAATAGATGTTAGAAAGTTCTTTCTGATCTTGGACTGAAATCTCTGACAAAACTTGTACTCTCTGGTTCCATTACCAGTGAGTAAATGGTGACAAGTGCCAGACACTTTCCACATTCTCATCAGGAAGACTTTCCTTAGCAGTTAAGAATGTAATGTACAAGGTATCATATATGGACACAGCTATTCTCCCTCCAGTCCAGGGCTCTGTCAGAAGGTTCATTTTGGTGGTGGAGTTGTGGGGAAGGGCTGTGACTACTAAAAATAATGACTGAGATCACCCATCCCTCACCATGCTTTGCTGTAGATCCATCTTTCATAGATTTATCCCAGATACTTCCTGAATCTACTTACATATTCAAAGCATATCTCTTTTTATAAAAATTAATCCTATTTGTTCACTCTATGCCACATCTTATTGTCCTCAAACTCCATTGAGCTTCATCAAATAGATGTGATTGTTAGAAAGTACTAGTGCTAGATATCAGGATTTGGTGACGTGAGGTGGCAAGCTAAGAATTAGATAATCCAGCTTTCTTCGTCACTTGTGTGTCTACTTTGGATCCCATTTCTCTGTGTCCCAGTGCTTAGGGTGACGACTGTCACACGGTCAGATCTCAATTTGTATGCATTGAATGAATAAGCAAAGGAGTCAATTTTCACCCTATGTCTTACTACTGCACCATTATCTCATGAATTTTAGCCAGCCTAAAACTTAGAAAAACAACTTGATGTAAAATCAAGACTGTGCAGACAAAAGGAATCTTTTAGTACTGGAGACTTGGGAATTGTTCCTATAGCTGCTTGTACCTTTCTTGACTCAGGTCTCAGAGGGGTTTCAATTTTCCTTTGGTTTCTTCTGTTCTGGTCACGGAATTTCTGACCTACGACAGTTTGAGTCTCCCTCTCGGGGACCAGTCATTTCTACCCTCATCTTCTCTTATAAGAGTCTCTGCCAACTACCCATTAACATCTTGAGCCACTTGGATGTCTATTCAAAGTTTATTATGAGGAATACATTGCTTACTTATTCATCATCATTCTACCCTAGCTTTGTAAAATTTTATCATAAAGTTCTTAAAAGTGAATTCATTGTCCAAAACAGATTTTTAAAAAGCAGGCTTAGGTAACCTCACGTCATTAACGTGTTCCACATGGTGGGCCTCTCCGGGTCTGTTGCACACCAGAGACCCAATGTCTAAGGTTTCCAATCAGAGATGATCATATTGGCAAGTGTCTCCCCTCTTGCTTACTTTTCCCTGTTTGCTCCAGTGACAACAGAGGCCATATCCAAACCCTCTTTGTTCAGTCCTTTGGCTGGAATCACCCCTCTGATTTCCAAGCCTCTTCTCTGCAGACTTTTCAGTCTTCTCACGGGCCAAACCAACAGAACGTGCTGAAGAGGAGGGAGACAAGGAAGGAGAGGAAACAAGCCAAAGATCTCTTTTGCAAATTGATGATGCCTCAAGATGACCTGATTTGGAAAAACAGCCAGACTGTAAAGAATTGTTCTTCCAAACTTCTCATTAAAAAAAAAAAGTTCAGCAAATATTTGATGATAATAATAACAATGATGACTATCTTCATGAACCTATTAGACAGCACTCTACTGCATACTTTCTGTGTTTTATTTCTGTTGCGATGATAGAGGATTGCTTTTTATGTTTCTTTGATTTATTTTCTCTGTAGTTCTGACTTTTAACTCTTCCCCAAGCTGTTGGCCAGTGATTCTGATAACAAAAGGAACACTGATGAGGCCACTGGTCATCTGTTAACAGAAGACAGTCAAGGGCTACAGAGATGGGGTTTTGAAATCATAAAGAAGACTTTCAGCCAGTAAATGTGCTAGGTCCAGGAGATACAGAGACAAAAAAGACATAGGGTCTTTACCCCAATTCAGGAGTGTTCTGTTCAATACAAAGAGACCAGCGTGTAAATGACTGACTACACAACAGTGTGATGAATGTTACACCGAAGATACATGGAAAAGACCACGGAGCACTGAGCAAGAAGTACTTCCTCCACCTGGAAACACTCCCTAAAGACCAGTTATTTCAGCTGAGTATTAAAGGGTACTCGGCAGTTTTCCACACAGACAAGAGGCAGGAAGAACTTTCCCAGGAGAGTTCACAGTATATACACAGACGTGGGGGTATGGAAGAGAAGGCACGTTCTGGGAACTGAAAATAGTTCAGGGCAGCCGCAGCTCCAGGTGCAAGATGAGATGGTGGGGCGGATACCAGAGATATTTATTGGGGCCTGGATTTTATCCCATGGGCAGTCCTGTACCTCTGCTCTTCTTTCCTTTCTCTTCCTGTTCCAGCACTTGAAAAGACACAGAACCAGAATATACTGTTCTTTCAGACCTAATTACTATATATCAACTTCCTAATCCTTTTTCTTAGACTGTCTTTCATCCACCGAGGTGAGGTCAACCCTTCCACATCTTTCTCTCCCCTGGATCTGGAATTGGCTTCTACAGATTGGTGGTCCAGGAATAATCTAAAAGACCTCCCAATAGAGGTCTACAAATTGCGGGGGAGGGGGAGCCATCATTCAAAACTTGGCTTTAGATGGTGCAGTAAGTACATCTACATGATGAATTGGCTGTCACAGTGGTTTGGAAGAACAGGTGTCCAATGGACAGATGCTTGGGGCTGAGTCGAAATTGTTCCTCACCCAGTGATTCCCAACTTGGGAACCCTGTCCCCACATGGAGTCTGAAAAGGAAGCAATGGCAGTCCCTAAGGAGTTTTCATTGCCT